AAAATGTCCAACAAGCAAAAATGTCCAGAGTTGAGAATGTCCCTGTTTTACAAATGTCCAAGTATCTGAAATGTCCAATACTGGTTCTTTGGCCAAACACAAAAATGCCCAAAAGTCCATTCCCTTTGCAAAAAAATTAGAAGGTGGCGACATTGTCGGCTTGAATACTAAATAAATTCGAATCCATGGAGACGACAGGGAAGATTTGAGAATCTTTTTTTCTTGAACTAACCTCAGTTGTGAAACTTTTTGGCTTTTGTAAAATTTTCGTTCGTTAAAAAATGCGGTAAAACCAATTACAGGGGCAAAATTTTACAATTTGTGATTTTTTTATGATTCTAAACTAAACTAATTGGTGAAAACTAAAAAAATTGGTGATTTTATTGTGATTTTTGTGATGGCGAACCCAAGGCTATTGAAAAGCCAAAAAGATAAACCTGTTCTTATTCATGATGACTTTCTGTATCAACGCCACTCAGCAAACAAAGTGAACACTGTAATTTACTGGAGGTGCCATAACAGGGGTAGCTGTGACGCTCGATGCTCGAAAACAGGAAATTTGGAAAATATTCAAATAAAAACCAGCGGGAGCCATAAGCATACACATGCGCCTGACGTTGCCAGTGTTGCGCTGTGAGAACGTTCTTGTCTCAACTAAAAGAATATGCAACAAATGCACCAAACGAAGGAGCAAGTAACATAGTGAGTTATTTTCCAACGAGCCCGAAGACGAGAATAATGAGGAAAGTGATCAAGAATGAAGAATATCTAGAAACAAAAATAAATGGACTTTTGGGCATTTTTGTGTTTGGCCAAAGAACCAGTATTGGACATTTCAGATACTTGGACATTTGTAAAACAGGGACATTCTCAACTCTGGACATTTTTGCTTGTTGGACATTTTTTTTTGGACATTTTGACCTATCACCGTCTCCGTAAAATTGACGCTGTGTGTAAACTAATAAATATTTTTTCAAAAACTAAAAAGGAGTGTACTCGTGAGAGTATAAGCTTTCAAATGAGCCTAAGTTTAGCTCGTTTTGACCATTTTTCAGCCCTTTTCAAATTTTGTTTTTTTTTTAATTAAAAAAATCGCCATGCGACGCAAACACGTCTCCGTAAAATTGACACTGTGCAAAAACCAATTGATATTTTTTCAAAAACTAAAAACAAGTGTACTCGTGAGAGTATAAGCTTTCAAACGAGCCTAAGTTTAGCTCGTTTGGACTATTTTTCAGCCCAGGGCGGTACCAGTCTGGGAACTTTTTGACCACACCTCGTACTGTATTTTAAAGTTTATTTCTTTTGTAAAATGTGACTAAGTTTGTTAAAATAAATATGATAAAATAAATATAACACGAAAAGAACGACATTGTGCTGAGCACGAACTGTTCAGATCAAATGGAGCCCGCTGATATGACAGTACTGCTGAGATCAACAGTCCGTAGAAAAGGACCCTAATGTTGTATAGGACTCAGCACTACTGCCATACTAGCTGGCTCCATTTGATCTAAATTGTTCGTGCTAAGCGCACGATATCGTTTTTTCCGTGAAATAAATTGAAATAAATTTACATGGGCAGGACTTATGCATTCTTCGTCTTTCAGCCAATATCGATGACCAAAGTGTGAGATCACGGACCTCCATTGCGGTGTTTCAAGATTGCATTTCCTATTTTATTTTTTCGAAGAGGAACGAGCCAGCTTTATTTCTTGAAAATACAAGATGTTCTGCTGACAAAGAGGAAAAATCAAATCAGTTTTCAAGATATTACCCTCTGCAGCGCCGCAAACAGAGATAATGAGGGAAATAAAATGAGGGAGAAAAATTAGAGGACATTCTGCAGAAAATCTCACATCAGGGAGAAATAATCACGGGAAAAAGAGGTAGGGGTTGAGTATCAACTTGGATATTTCTAATTTATTGTTCGGTATAATACCCCCAAAAATTGGGTCACGAACCCAAATGTTGCAGCACTACCCAAGCATGAGCTGCGGTACTACCAAATTTAATTGGAAATATCCATATCATCCAACGAATTGCGGCAGTACCACAGTTTTAGGGGCAACCCCACTTTTCCTATAAAATAATGCTAGGCTTGTCATATTATTCACGAAAATTGAATCCTCAGCTTCAACCACCCAGTTCAGCTTCGGTGCTAACTATGGAGAATTGGAGGGATGCAACGTTGAGTGCTATCTAACTATCTACGGATAACGGTAACGCAGCTTGTATTTTTTCGGACGAATAACGGGAAGAAACACAAGCGCTCGAAATATTTAACAGTGTTTATTAACCCCAAAAAAAAACAACTTTTTACCCTGAAAGTTTCAAGACTCACCAAAATCCCCTCGGAATTTCCTAAAACACTCTTTAACTTGAGACTATATTTTAGAGACCACAAATAAATCCAGCACTGAAAGTAAGGAAGAGTTGTGAATATTGAAAATAAATTATATTTTCCGGAAAATTCAAGGGATCGTAGCTCACATTGGTACCATCTAAGGACATTATGGAGGAGGAAAGTCTTGTATTGGCCCATAGAACACAGTCCTGCAGTTGGCCATTTAACTTCATTTCGCTCCTTGTACTCATCAGCGGCGTTTCTAGCAAGTTGATAACACTATCTTTCCTCCATTCAAATGTGCGTGAAGCAATCGATCCTTGGTGAGGCAATGTAATCGATATTTTTAATGGATTTTAATGGAGGATAAACAGTGTTGCCAACTTGAAAAATCGACACTGATTCTCTCATAGAGAAAATCTTTACTAGCATATATTCAGCATATTACTGCTATTCATTTCAGCCCTCTTACGCGGTAGTCCCCGTGCACGGTTCGGGCCAGCTGAGGATTTTCAATGGACTACCATGTCTAATAGAGTTAGATCCTCCGATTAATGGCCAATCTACAATTCCTCCACTTGGAGCGCTGCAAGTAAATAACGTCGAAGTTGTTAATGGAACACGAACTCTCACAGAGAGACTGAAGATAAATGCCCAAGCGCCCTTTTTAAACACAACGATAGAACCAACGAACTGGACTGAGGATGTTGTTGTTTTTGAGGCAAAGGTAAAACTCTATTAATCTAAATAATTATCTGTTTTAAAATTTTTCTAATCATCTTAATAGCTTCAGTATTATGCTTTATAAATTTAAGCTATTAAAACAAATAAAAATAATTGTTAAAATAAATATGATTAGAATCGTGGTTTTTAGATTGATCTGATTTGATCTGATTTTGATCTTGCCAGGTGGACTCACTATGAAATGCTAATTTTTAGCTTTATGTAGCGTTTTAAAGCGAGGGTTCCTCTTAAATCAAAAGGGGACCGGCGTGTGTATTTTCTCCCTTTTTCTTCCTATTCATGTTTCTTTTACAAAAGGATTTACTAAGAAATGTCTGAAAGTTTTTCTGCAACAGATGGAGAAAACTTGATGAATGCCCATGGAAGTTTGTTTTCGAAATCATTGATTTTTGTCTCAAAAATACCTGCAATAGTTTTTTGTCCGATCAATATTACGACGAAGTACCTAACAATGCACCCGCTCCTTGTTTGTGCAGCTCTATTGGTAATTTAATGCTTCTATTATCAAAACTTTCAACACACCGGAAAAAATGAAGGTCATTTAACATGCTATTATGTGAAAAAAAGTGTGCGCAGAACTCATTAAATGCTAAATTACCAGCCACAGCAGTTGTTTTACATCTTTGCATTGCTAAAGTAACTGCTGTAGAGGGCGATTCAGCATTTTATAATGTCTCTCACACTATTTTTACATCCAGAATGTTACATCAATTTCTCTTTTTTTTCGAGGCATATTTTACAATGTTATATTCTCTTAGCTGAGAAGGGGAATTTTTTTTACCGATGTTTCAAAGAAATTAAAGGAAAAAAGTTTAAAAACATTTGTAGGGTTTTCTCAGTGCGAATAAAATTGATTAAAGAAAATGCAGAAAAATATGTCTCTCCCTCCCCCACCTTAAAGCCCGGAAAATTGCGTGAGCACTCCTCTGGACCTAGGGGAGTTCCACAGACGCAGGCAGGTAGACCCCATCCCCCTTCGTGGAATGTTTTTGGCGCCCCTCAGACTCCTCCTCATGATGCAATGCCCTTTTGCCCCCGCCCCTCCCCCACCAAAAGCTCTTAGTTCCGCCCGTGCGTAGCTGTAGAGATATATTAAAATATTACTTGAGGAGCCAAACATAATCTTCTGCAGTCATTTTGACAAGGTCCGCTTTGTTACTAACTTGCAGTTAAAGAGTGTTATGTATAATAATGGAAAAGACAATGGAACATACTTTTCAGAGCACATCGTATTTGGTGACCATTTTGAATGACCGGATTACCTTACGACGAATTCCGGGACATGATGACGTCACAAAGTCACCTAGTAATGCGCCGAGAGTCAGGTAAAGTTTATAGATTTACATTTTCTGAGTAGCTTGGATAAGTTAAAGATTCGTCTCATCGATCAAATGCCTCAGAGAAAAGCCGGTACATCAAACCCCAAAACTGATCAAATTGAAGCATTTGCGCGAACTCTCAGTGATGCGATTTTCAAGACTTTTGAGGCAAATTTAGCAAATTTTTTTATTTTTTTTCAATTCTTCGAGGTCAATTGGACAGATTTCTACTAAAAGGAACTATGCGCATCATGAAGTGAGCCCTTTTAAACACTTATTCTTATGGGACGCAGGGCTCATGTCTTAATGCACATAGTTCCGTTTGATAGAAAAACGTCCAATTTTTTCCTTAGTTCAGTGCAAACCGTTGTATTGACGGTGAAACTCCCAAACCATCTATCTCGATTTGCGACATTCCGGACTTCCCGGCATACTTTATTTTTTCAATGGAAAACTACTCAACGTCAATTCTTCAAACTTCCAATACTATTCTTTCGCTGTGCAGAAAAAATTCTGAGAACGTCAAATCATAAAATCGCAAAAACCCTGACAAGTTACTTCTGTGATGTACATATTTTTCCCCGATGGCTTGCACATTATACTCTTTCTGGGATTGCGACGGTTAAACTACAAAAAAGTACTTCCCTCGCCATTCGTTTTTTTCAATTTTGCATACACGTCATTGTTCTTATAGAATTCTACGTGGAAAAAATTGAAATGAAAAATTTCTCCAAGAGGGCAAAATAATCACAAAAAATGTGCAGTCACGATGAAATTGCGGAGGAGCAAAATATGATTTTGACATGTCTAACGTCACTCCTCGAGACACGTGCGTATCGTGGCTCAGCAATTTACGTATGAGACATGAACTCACACAGAAAAAAGAATCGACACTCTCACATTTCTCAGAGAATATTTCCAAAAAAAATGACAGAGAAGAACAGACAGACAGACAGACATGACAGAGATAACCCTGGTAATAATGCAGCATGGTTATCCTGCAGATTGTTATCGGGCCCGAACTTTTTGTTGCGACGAGAGTAACGTATTGCAATGACGAGTAGAGAAGTAGATTGGACTTAGGGATGGTCGAATATTTAGATAATCGAATATCCGATATTCGAATTATCGGCACCGAGATAATCGCATCACTTTCGAATATTCGCCTCCGAAGTATTCGAAATCGCAAGATTCGATTTCTCAAATAATCTCAATAATCGCAATCGAAAAGTTTCGAATATTCGAATAACCGCATTCGAATTCGAAAATCGTCCATCCCTAATGGACCTGAATCCAGCGAGAGCATTGTAAGACCAACTATTCTTCTCTTTTCATGCTTGTCTTAAAAATTTTGCTGTAAATTTTTCAGAGTAATCAGCAACTTTGACGCCTACCTCACTCTGAGAAACCAGTACGACAGTGAGTTTCATTTTTCACTGAGTGGCGCTGATCAGGTTACGACTTTAGATGAAGTTTACTCTGGCAGGTACAGTTCATCAAAACTTTACTATTTTTGCCAACCGCACTGCTACAGGTGCCGTCCAAAAAGGACATGAAGTAATTTGTTCATTTTTTGTCCCCTCCCCTTCCTCATTTTAGGTATGTAAGACATTTCTACTACCCCCTCCCCATTTATAATTACGTCAGGTTGAGCGCTCCCCTTCCCCGTTTTTTTTTAAAAAATGGCACCGATACCTGAGAAAAGCAATAAAATGATCGTTTTAGCAAAGGGTATTACTTCACTGCGTTTCAGCCTCATTCTGTTGAGTTCTCCTTCCATAACCCGAATAGGCAATTTGAGCGGCTTGGTGGGCATAATAGTTGCTTGCAAAGATTTAGTAACGTTCATTCGTGTCAAACGTAACATTAGCAGACTAACATTACAGTGCTTACGGTGTCCTGCGCTCATTCCACGCAAGTTAGCTATGTCAATTTTTTTAGGCTATTAACAGAGTCTTGGAATAAAAATTGGCAGCAGAATTGAAGCAAGTTTATGCCCCCAATCCTAACGTCTGCCTACCCGGATTATGATTCTAGATACAATCAGTTTCCTATGCTAGTAAATGATTTCCCTGTGTGTAGACCATTCAGTTTAATCGCTCAAAATATGGCAAATATTCTAGGAAAAAGATATTTTTATCATAAATCGATACATGACGGATATTTTCCGTTAAGTACCATCTGGATGTCAGTCGCTGTTAGCCTGTTCTGCTATGACGAGTAGACACATTCAGAGTTGAAACCGATTGAACGCGGAAAGATATTTCATGTCACATGTCAATTTTTTGCAATATTTTCTCTGGAAAAGGTTTTATCGAAAGTCACCCACATATCACTTTTTTTTATAAAAATGTCATCCATTTGCGTTATTTGCCAAGAGCCTAAAGCACCGGAACCTTCTTTATTTATGCAAATGAATGACACTATTCATCGCAAGGACCCCCTGATCTATGTCGGGTTGTGCTTCAAATATTTTAATAATTGCATGACAGGTTGTCGTATGTATTTGTTGACCTTCTCTCGTTTGATTCTCATTCAACTATCTTTCGTCAGATTTGTTTCCTTGATTTGCCCTCCTTGATTGCCTTCATTCTCCTGCTTTCAGCTATAAACCAATTTTAAATGGTAGGATACTCGCGTCAAATTTTTTATTGGAAAGTGGTGGTGTATATACAATAGTACTGCAGAAATTTGGCACAAAATTTGTAAGTAACCAAAAATTGAATAGTTTGTTTTCTTTTTGCCACCAACAAATTTGTATTTATTTTGCCATTTCTTAAAACTATATAACTTAATAATTCAATTTCCAAAACTCCTATCATTTCCTATATATCCACCCTCTTCACGTATATTTTGGCCAAAACAGTACAAAACTTTGAGGTTCTGAAAGTGGTTCTATTGGTTTCCTCGTGAAATTCTCTTTCAGGAGCATTCCTTCAAATTTAAAATATGACAAAACAAACATCAAAATTTGCAGTTTTGGTAAAACATTTCATGTCCGACCTCTCTGATTGACTCTATCCACTGTGCGCCAGAAGTAATGATGTGCGAGGGAAATATTTTTGTTTTTCCTTAGTTTAACACTAACAGCATAACATGGGTGGATTTACATCCTCTCAAGGGGGCAAACAATCCTCCCAGGTAAGAGGATTGTTTTTGGGATGGTTGGCCGGTATGTCGTTTTAGAATTTTTCCTCGTTGTGTGACTGGTCACAGCCTATGTAATTTACGAGAAACTGAGGCAATACAGGTGTCTTAAAGATGCCTGCTTACAGGTTTCTTTCCTGATAAAGTGGGGGATAGGGATACCCTGGTAAAAATTGGCGATAAGAGCTGCGTTTCAAAATACCATAGAAATTCTTATAGCCGGCTAAAGAAGGCTACAGAAAATCATAGGTATAGCTGGCTGTAGAATGCGGAGAAAATCATACGGCCGGGTTATACGAAGCGATAACAAATTATGCAGCCGGGCTATAGTTCCTATCGCCGGGTTTTACACTTTATCGCCTGGCTGTTGCTTTTTCGTCATCGATTATAAAAGGCTATAAGAAATCGTGTAGAAATTCGTGTGCTTTGGAAATCATTAACTTTGATACGGAGCCACCTTAATATTTACAAAACACACATTATATTTTCCTTTAATACATATTTTTTTTCATCAATTAAAATGAGAATAATAATGGATGTGCAAACATTTCAAAATCATGAGTCGAATAACGCTGACTCCGCCGGATTAAATATTAGAACCCAACACCAAGCGGATCGGCGACGCATTGGCGCCTACAAACCTAACAGGGATACTTCACGCATTGCGCAATGCGAGAAGTATCCCTGTTAGGTTTTTAGGCGCCAATGCGCGTTCAGTGCTGGCTGCCCGCTCGCCGCGCCGCGCCGCAGCGTACCGCGGCGCTTGAAACAACTATTTCACACCAGAGGTATTGCACAGTATCATACCAAATGGAAGGCGCTCCAACATCTTAGGAATGTCAGGCATCCTTCAAAAGAACGGAGCTTTCCTCGCAAATTAAATCAAAATACTGCGGCCCAAAAAGAGAGCGGTAGTCCAAAAACTGACTAAGTCCTAGCATCCGTAATTAGTAACGTTTAGCATACACTTTAGCGCCTGGTTGCTGCTTAATCGTCATCGGCTATAAAAGGCTATAAGAAATTGTGTTGCCGGCTATAGAAGCTATTGGAAATCTTACAGCCGGCTGTAGGTCTATGGTATTTTGGAACACAGATTCTACTGCCAATTTTTACCAGGGTACCCTATCTTATAAGAAAGTTAAACAAGGTTAAAGAAAATAAAACAACCAGAAACAAAGTTAAAATTTTAAAGGAAAAAACCTTACGTCTTGGCTACTATACCCATTCATTACCAATTGACGAAATAAAAATAAGGAAAAATAAACCCGATTATGAAATTTTTAGTTCGATGCTCAATCAGAAAAAGTTGTAGCTTGATGCCTGACTAGCAGAAAACTATTATATTCAAGCACCCGACCAACTATGTACTTTTAACTTTTTTTTCAATTTATAAATTTTATTTTTACTCCGCCGATTGACAACGGCTGCACTACCAGCCGGATCACTTCAGATTTTTTCTTTGAAGTTTCACTCTTCTTCCCTGTTGTTTTGTGTTTTTCACCCTTATATTTTTCATCTCACGGACTGCTGTTGTAAAGAAGTTTATCTCACACAAAATTTAGGCGAAATGATTTTTGCAGACTCGGATTTTTCCATCCGGGTTGCTTGTCTGGCCTGGTCATGATCGAAGTTGATTTTACATTAAGAATGAAACAAAAATCTAAAGTAAAACACATTTTCGTCTTCGTTCTCCAGTAAACCTGAACTTCTTACTTCTTCATTTTCTCCTTGGTTTTCGACAATTGTTTTGCTTTTCAGACGGAAAACTTGCACATTATAACACCTCCTGCGACGTTACACATGATCTGGACATTCCCGCAAATTTTCGTCGTGACAATGGCGGAAATTTTCTTCGTGGTTACGTACTTATCATTTTCCTTCACAGAGGTCAGTTATTATAAAAAAATAATTATAATATTGTGAAAATATTTTAGGCGCTACAAGAATCCTCCGGAAGTTCCTTAACTAACAATAAATGGATCAGCGCAAATAAGATATCATTGATTCTCACACACACCGAAATACCCGGGTAAAAATTGGCAGTAGAATCTGTGTTCCAAAATACCATAGACCTACAGCCGGCTGTAAGATTTCCAATAGCTTCTATAGCCGGCAACACAATTTCTTATAGCCTTTTATAGCCGATGGCGATTAAGCAGCAACCAGGCGCTAAAGTGTATGCTAAACGTTACTAATTACGGATGCTAGGACTTAGTCAGTTTTTGGACTACCGCTCTCTTTTTGGGCCGCAGTATTTTGATTTAATTTGCGAGGAAAGCTCCGTTCTTTTGAAGGATGCCTGACATTCCTAAGATGTTGGAGCGCCTTCCATTTGGTATGATACTGTGCAATACCTCTGGTGTGAAATAGTTGTTTCAAGCGCCGCGGTACGCTGCGGCGCGGCGCGGCGAGCGGGCAGCCAGCACTGAACGCGCATTGGCGCCTAAAAACCTAACAGGGATACTTCTCGCATTGCGCAATGCGTGAAGTATCCCTGTTAGGTTTGTAGGCGCCAATGCGTCGCCGATCCGCTTGGTGTTGGGTTCTAATATTTAATCCGGCGGAGTCAGCGTTATTCGACTCATGATTTTGAAATGTTTGCACATCCATTATTATTCTCATTTTAATTGATGAAAAAAAATATGTATTAAAGGAAAATATAATGTGTGTTTTGTAAATATTAAGGTGGCTCCGTATCAAAGTTAATGATTTCCAAAGCACACGAATTTCTACACGATTTCTTATAGCCTTTTATAATCGATGACGAAAAAGCAACAGCCAGGCGATAAAGTGTAAAACCCGGCGATAGGAACTATAGCCCGGCTGCATAATTTGTTATCGCTTCGTATAACCCGGCCGTATGATTTTCTCCGCATTCTACAGCCAGCTATACCTATGATTTTCTGTAGCCTTCTTTAGCCGGCTATAAGAATTTCTATGGTATTTTGAAACGCAGCTCTTATCGCCAATTTTTACCAGGGTATCCCTATCCCCCACTTTATCAGGAAAGAAACCTGTAAGCAGGCATCTTTAAGACACCTGTATTGCCTCAGTTTCTCGTAAATTACATAGGCTGTGACCAGTCACACAACGAGGAAAAATTCTAAAACGACATACCGGCCAACCATCCCAAAAACAATCCTCTTACCTGGGAGGATTGTTTGCCCCCTTGAGAGGATGTAAATCCACCCATGTTATGCTGTTAGTGTTAAACTAAGGAAAAACAAAAATATTTCCCTCGCACATCATTACTTCTGGCGCACAGTGGATAGAGTCAATCAGAGAGGTCGGACATGAAATGTTTTACCAAAACTGCAAATTTTGATGTTTGTTTTGTCATATTTTAAATTTGAAGGAATGCTCCTGAAAGAGAATTTCACGAGGAAACCAATAGAACCACTTTCAGAACCTCAAAGTTTTGTATAAACAGAGTTATGAGCGTTTAAAGTTTCCAAATTTTGTCTGACCTCTCCTATTGACTTGATCCACTGTGCGGCGTAGAATCGAAACGCACAAGGGACTCTTCCATCCCCACAAAATGTGCCAACTTGCTCTGGCAAGCATTTGCTTGACTAACAATATCTCCATTGATAAATCAAACATTTTCTCCTTGAAGCTTTTATGTAAAAATGTTTTCATGTATTTCTTTTCCCCTTTTTTGTGTGTGATAGGCTCCTGAAAGTATGAAAATCTTTGATGACTTCTGTGCTGTATGTAGCCAACGCATTAGGCAACCTGCTTGTTGTCATAATTTCAAATATGAGCTTCTTCCGTGAACTTTCGCAGGTAATTTCGTAGATTTTCATAAATTTTCAGTAGATTATCCTAAACTCGTCCTCAAGAAAAACTAAACAAGATAATTTTCCAAAATTCTATGTAATACGTACTTTTTAAAGAGTGCACTGCCAAGGAAACTTTTTCATACAGCCTTCAGATATAACACCCCCTATAGGTTAAGTAATCTATCACTACAATTCAAATAAATTCAATATGTACTAAGAATTTACAAGTTAGCACCACAATTGAAATAATTTTTTCCATGAAAATAATGTAATTCGGGTGGAAAATTATTATTTAGTAAATCTGATTTGAACAAATCACACCAAGATAACGTTATATGTATCCTTAACATATCCACACATTTTCAAAATGTATTAATTGTTTTACTTTAATAAATAACGCTTTAATTGCAAAATAGATATTTATGCATTTTTCAGACACAAAAGTTCTTATTCCTCGCCGGACTGATGGTTATGAATATCGTCATTATAATTTATCTAGCGATACCCTATAAATACAAAAAGTACAAATCCGTTGAAAAATTTGACGATTACGCATTGGTGGACAAGAGAAGAAGAAATCTTGATGGAAGATTGGAGGCAATCGACTCAACATCTAAATGAGACAACTGAGAACAACCGACTGGAAGCAAAATCTAGAGATGGAAAGTTCGACAGCGACAATTCCGACAATCGCAAATGAAACTCGCATGAGGATTTGAGTGGCGAGAACGGTGGTTCAATCGTTGGGAGAGCAGATGGTTCGTTAGGTCAAGGAAATCACTGGTAAATTCGGCAGCTGAATTGCGGTTCGAGATTTGTGACCGATTTTCCTTGGACTCGTGAAGAATCAGAACGAAGAAATGAGGAACAAAAATCTTAAGAATATGGCTACAATCCGAAAATGCCAAACAATTTTTTGTCTTCCTTTTTTGAATCAGGGCTCTCTAACGTCATATTGCTAATTTTATTTTGAATAAAGTAAAAGGTAATTAAAAAGAAGGGGGGAAAAGAGGTTGCAAAACCAATGGATGTGTGACTCTGCGCTGAAATTGATTTTCCTTGTTCGTAGGTGTCTTTAATTTTTCCTATGTTAAGATTTAAGATCTGAACCATCAAGATGTACACATCTTTTGTCTTAATTATAGCATATATAGTGAGACACTCTGAGAGCCTCACTCAGATTGATTTCGTTGTGATAAAAAAAAATAGTTCGTTATCTCGATCAAACTGTTTCGATAATATTTGTATATTCAACCTGTAACGCGATGTAACATTTTGACTAACGATTTTGCATTGTATTATTCATCCAAAAAATTTAATTTTGTTTACCTATACGATTCACGGTCGATTTTGTAAAGATGACGATTTGCTCGGAATGCGTACTTAACTGACGACGCTTCGTTAAAGCATTGCCGCAAAATTATATTTCCCGCATATGACATCCTAAAATATTGCCCACTTGGCGGGAACATACTCTACTTAACAAAAACATTGCTCACCCGTCTTGGATTTAAACAAAAACCATTTGGACCACATTTCGCAGTAAGGAACCACTATTTCTTGCTCATTTTAGAAACAAAATGCATGCCATTGGATTCCGTATGCAGAAAGGTGCTTTTATGGAAGAGCCTGAGATAGAGGCGATCGACCCAGCTGCAGCTAGTGCGCAGGGTGTCAAAACGCCTTCAATTTTTTGGACGCAATACGGACATCCGTCGAGGTTGAATAGTTGCATCAATAAGGAGCTGTCGTCGACGCGTCCCCGTGTTTATTGCCACGGACGAATACAAATGGTGTGACTGCGAAGAGAGTAAAAATGAGAAAATGCCTTCAGTTATGTACATATCGATGGCTAAAGTGAGAAACCGCGTATCTCGGATTGCGATGTTGCAGACTTCCTGTCGAGCATTATTTTTTCTTCAGACGACAAGTCAACGTAAAACTTTCGTGACTTTCTCTCTCTGTTAGCAAATAATTCGGTATAAATTTCAAGTCATTTTATTCGGCTAGTTTCGCTCGGAAAAAATAAAATAGGGGCAGACATTTTGAACACCGCAATGAGGATGCGTGGTTTTCCACTTTGGCCATGGTATGCGATACGGACGATCTCTCTGTTTCTCTTGGGAAAATAAAATAGGAGCGGAAATTTTGAAAGAACCGCGATCACTCCACTTTTCCCCTGTCTTCTTCGTCAATCGTTTTATCTCTCAGTTTTAATGGAGAAGTTGCATGTGTGAGGAATTTGCGATTTGACTGTTGATTATTGTGTAAAAGTTCGCGAGAAACACGATGGTGCCTCTGGTTTTCTCTGAAATCAACTCCTGAGCTCGAAAAAAAGCTCTCAAGTTGAGGCCAAAATAAAAGGGATATCCCACCCTACCCTAAGAGTCCATCTTTACATCAAGACAAACTCTTCATGCAAAGATATAGAGAGCAAATACAGTAGCAGTGATGCCGTGTTTTCAGTTTTAGAATCCCCAAATGAAGTGGCAGCCCTGTCAATGTATTTGCTCCCTATCTTTGCATGGAGAGTTTGTCTTGATGTAGAGGTGGACTCTTAGGGTAGGGTGGGATATCCCCTTCATTTTGGCCTCAACTTGAGAGCTTTTTTTGAGCTTGGGAGTTGATTTCAAAGTAAACCAGTGGCACCATTGTGTTTCTCGCAAACTTTTACAGAAGAATCAACAGTTAAATCGCAAATTCCTTACACATGCAACATCTCCAGTGTCAGCTTGCTGGCTACGTGTCTGCGTGACAATTAGCCAACACCCTCATTCTCTCGTCTGGCTCCGTCTTATTTGCAACATTTTATTTCCTTCCCACCTCCGCGACATGAAGTACGTTAGTAGACGGGTTTTTTATTATTTTCCCAACGACATGACGTGCGTCAGCAGACAGGTACGCATTTGGATATTGAAGAGCACCTTCACCTTTCAACAGTGCATCATTGTACGTAGAGATCAATTATACACTTCATCCAAGAACGTTCGGTTGGGGCTAAAAGGGGAAAAAAAAGCAAATTGACTGTGAAACTTTTAAACTACGTATCTCGTATGCGGTGTTTAAAAGTCTACGAGCCGTCTTTACTTTTTTTGAGGAGAAAATATCAACATCATTCCTTGTGGTTTTAACAGAACTTTCTTCGCACAGGAGAGACAAATCACGGAAGTTTATAAGATTTGACATTGATTAGTTTCCGATTCATAAAATAAAGCACTAAAGGAAGTCTGTAACGTTGCAGACTGAGATACTAGGATTGGATGTTTCAACGCCAAAATCGAAAAAAATTAAGTTCTCGGCAGTTCGTTTTAAAATTGTTTTCAGGCCGAACGGAGCATGGGGAAAAAAGGTGGGTTTTCCATGAAACGCGAGCTGAATTCAATTATGACGTCAACGAATATCATTGATGTGCTACCATTTGAACCTACGAAGAAGGATCGATAATAATCGATTTTTACCATAGCTGCAAATGGTGAAATGTCGATAATCGATCATTCATGCCTTCGGGAGCTACTATGGCCCACGATGAAAATTGCAGAGGTTTGCAGAAGATGGGTATATCCAATCAATCAATACAGATCAACTCCCTCTGATCGCATCTTCATTTAAAATAATTACTTAATAAGAAATAATGTATAACACTCTAAACATTTACTTACAACATTAATTAAACATTTAAAGGAGCCTGAGGCACAGAGTCATTTGCTCCACCACAATGCTTTGTCCGTCGTACTCAGCGCGTCCAGTATCGTTAGATCTTTCCTACACATCCATTAATTAATTTTTAGTTACATTTTTTCTCAATTCTTCTCTATGTTTTTGCATTATTTTTTTTTCACCCCAGGAACATACAAATCATTTCTTTTAATGAAGCATCAATGCTGTTGACTTTAATTGGCCTATGATCTGTCAGTGACACTACAAATACTGGAAATACTCCTTCCATATTCAAAAATTTTGAACTGGAAAGGGAGAAGGGCGATCTTCTTTCTTCTTTTCTTCCTTTCTTTCTCTCTTCCTCTCATTTTTAATTTTCTTATTTATTTTTTAAGTTTAAAATGACCAGTCACCTGTTGCAAATTATTTTAAGTTTATGGTAGACTCCACCCGACACAAGATTAAACCTTAGGGGGTTGGTGGTTACTCTTTTGTTTTATATCTTATTTTAAAAATTCCTAAAGTATTATGTTAAATTTTTTTTTTTAAAAAAAGCATAGTAAAGTTAGTGGAATTGAATTAATTTAAATTCAACCTTTCATGGGTCGTTTTCTATTCCAGATTTCAAAGCAGGAATATGTGGCATTTTTTTTTTTTTAGTTTAAACCTTGTTCCGTTGTCATTGTAGTAATACATATCTACTTTTGTACAATTTCACCTTGTGAAATTTTTTACCCTTTACCTTTGCCCTCAAAACGGTTTTTTGGTTTTTCGCTGTAAATGCTCGATTACTGGGGAGATCACAAGCATGCTAACACGCACGCTTCATTCGGTAATCGCTGTTGCGAAAATGGGCATGATTTAGCAGAGCATATCGATGGTGAAACGACTAAGCCACGTACCTCGGTTTACGATGTTACAAGTTTTCTAGATCATTTCACTTTTTCAAAGGATAGCTGATCATACATTCATTGGAAATTATTTCATGTAATTTTTCTCTGCTTTCTCAAGAATATTCTTTGGGGATCTCATGCAAATGTCCATTGATCTCCTGTTAAAAAACGTAGATAGAGCGGAAATTTTGAAATCGTGGAAACCTCAAAATTGAAATTCATGTCGTCACAATGCCACCGTTTAAAGTCCACCGGGAGGAATTCAAAAACAACGAACAGCGTGTTGCATATTATGCAACACGTTCGTTGTTTTTGAATTATGCGTTTCTTCAAAACTACTTGCTTACTGGCATTTTGCCTACTGACGTCCAAACGGCAAGTGCTGTATCAGTTTTGAGTTCAATCTCTGACCGTGAGTACTTTTTTACGTAGCATATTTTTTATTGATGGTTTCAGTGCGCATGCAGTACTTTCCTTCCATGAATGCTATTTTTACCACCTGTCAGAACTTGATGGTACCTTTTCCCATCGAGAAGGCATTGACATACCTATGTCTTTGCGTTTTGAGCACACTTATCACAAAACCGTCTGCCTGACTTCAATCGCTGCTACAACACAAATTAAAAATTTTAACAGAACTGTTTTCCTTCTTCTTTTAACGGTTAGAAGTGTGTTTGTTATCCCTACGAATCCCGCAGCTCAATGATAAAAATTATATGGTATCGTTATTTCTATATTTTCCATTGCATGTGTAAAACTAGAGTAATTTTACTGTACAATTTCGAATGTATACGTCACAAGACTCCGAGCATGATATGAGAAATTCTATTGTCTGTTTCAGGTAATTATTTTATCCTTAAGATTCTAAGCTCAACTTATGAGCGGGTGCTTTTAAAGGGAATACCTCCACCCTTCATAGGGTGAGTTCCCTCGCTCTCCCTGGCTTTCAAATAATACCCCTTTCCTTCTTGCTTTTACATTCTTTGGATTTTTAAGGGCCGCATTCATGGTTTTTTCACAGCTTCTTCCTTTCAAGAGGCCACATATCGATGGCCGAAATGCGGCACCACGTATCTAAAATGCAATGTTTCAAAATATCCGCTCCTATAGATCGTATTCGATACATCAAACAGGTGAGATTGTATCGATATCGATTGGTTCAAAACATAAACATAGCCTCAAAGGTCAATTTAGAAATCGGAGGGAACGGGTCTTTTGTAACAGATGTTTTATTTTTTTGAGTACCAAATGCCAATGCAAAGTGAAATTGTTAGAAATTTTCTCATTTTCAGCTTTTCCAACTCAAATCCTAATAGTTTGGTTTGAGGTTATGTTCTATTGTTTTGAACCAAACGATACATCGAACCATTATCGAATACGGTCTATTTTATTTTCTCGCAGAGAGGGAGCCAACTTTATAGCATAAAATTGAATAGAATATTTTGCTAACAGAGAGGAAAAATCGATAAAGTGTAGTTAGTAGAAGAAAGTACGTTGACTAGTGTTTTCGAAGGAAAAATAAAGTATGACAGGAAGTCTGCGACGTCACAAACGGAGATACGTGGTTTCGCATTTGAGTCATCGGTACCTCTCGTTGCCGAGCAAAGGAAAAACGTCGTATGTACATCCGGCTGTTGCCAAATTTCTCTTGGTACGATATGTACTTTGAGGCAACTTTTGAATATTTTCCTTTAAAATTTCCAGATTTTTTCGATAGAGTTAGGACCAATCTCTCGGAGAAATTTGGAGAAAAATATCAACGACAAATAAGAAAAAAAGGCAGATATTTTGTGTTAATATGGAAAATATAACACAAATTAACCTAAACGCGCGGTTAATATTTTTGGTTAGTTGTTCTTTTCAGTGACATTGGCTTAGTAATTGGATTAAATGGAATTTTATATATATATCTTTGGCTTGGAAATTTACAACCTCAATAAAAATTAGACGCTAGTCGCCAGGATCGAACCTGTGCACAGTGCGGCAGCCTTA